TTTCTTTCTTTCTTTCTTCTCATTATTTACTTTCTTTTCATTATGTTCTTTCTTTTTTCTATTATTTCTTTTCGTTATTTTTTTACTTTCCCCAATAAAAACGAAAAGGAAACTTTTCCCACTTTTCAATTTTTTCCAACACCATAGATTATTTTTTTCTTCTTAACCTTCCGCCATTTCTTCCTTCTTTATTCTCTCATCTGCCCTTTTCATATGTCTCCACAACCTATATGTGCAACAAACCCCTAAAAACCATTGCCGATGATGGACAGGACTGTCAAAATTGTCCTTATAGGATATGCGAGTTGGGTCATAACTTGGGGCAATCCTGTTATTGCATGGACATGTAACACGCCCTTATTCTCCAAGACAACCAATGTTTTTTTCCGATATTGAAAGGACTACGGAATACGAATTAATATATACATTGTATAATTGCACACACACACACACGCACACACACACACGAATATGAATACATGAGAGTGTATCATATATATATTTTTTATATAACAGTGCGATTTTATTCAAATGAATGACAAAGTGGAAAAATACTGTGTAACGCCTTTCGTCTTCTAGATGGACAAATATTTTACACGGAATTTTTCGCTGTCATATTATTTATTATAATTTTTACATAAGGAAAAATAACTTACTCACTACAAAGATGCATTCTTGTTTCGATGCGTATGTATCTCGACTAGTGACAACCAGAAATGGTTATGAGCAAGCAAGCCGTTTATGGAATCTAAGAAAACGGCAAGCTTGTAAATAGAATTGTTCATAACAATTTTTGGTTCTCACCAGTCGAGATGCATGGGCATCGAAACAAGAATGCCTCTTTGTAGTAAGTAACTTGTTTTGTCCCTATGTAAAAATTTTCACACACACATACACACATATATATATTTGGTTCATTTGTTTTTACAGCTCATCAATCTTTTACAGGCTATTTAAAGACAGAAAATATTTTATATTGTATGAATTTCTTTAAACACAATAATGATTTACTGCTACTTGTTCCATAATTAACCCATAACTGTGGAAGGAGAGGTGGTTTAATACCTTTTCCAAGTGCATTTGCGCATTAGTGAATAGAATGAACCCGATTGGAATTGGAACTCGGCTCTCCGATTAGCAATTCTGAGTCATTATCCGTTACACCACCTGCACATCCCTGCTTACAGCTCCTGTCAATCCCAAGCATTACCCCGGCTTACAGCCACATCACGTTGAAACACCGGTTGCCGTGCGATGAACTGAAGTTAAGCAATGTCAAGCCTTGTCAATATCTAAATGGGTGACTGCTTGAGAATACCAGGTGGTGTAAGGATGGATGTGCCGGGTGTGTAATGGATAATGGCTCGGAATTTTTAATCAGGGAGCCGAATTCTAATTCCATTTATGTTCGTGATATTCATCTACAAGCAAATACGCTTGGAAAAGATATGAATCCACTTCTTCTCTCTCTTGCTATGGGTTAATTAGTAAGAATTGTATCACGAAATCAATATTATCCCCACCCCCAAATTACAATTTAAAAATATTTTCTTCCTAAAATTCTTACTAGAATCATTATTTTTTTTTTAAAAATGCAAAATATTTAGATTTCGGCATTAAATAACCCATAAGGGTATTGATATGCCACTGAACAAAAACAACCAACCAACCAACCAACCAACCAAAGAGGTCAACAAATACTAACTAGGCTTGACGTTGCTTAACATCAGTGATCATACGAGAACCCGTGTTATAACGTGATATGGCCGTAAGTCTTACTCAAAAGGTGCTTGATAATTGCCAATAAAATGAAATTGTGTTTTAATTGTTGATGAATAAAATTGAGAAAAAATCGGAAATTATTATTGTCTTAATCTAACAGAATGCAGAAAGCTATCTTTTTTTTCTTTCTGTGAAGTATTTTCTTTTTCTAATAAAAAAAACAAAAAATAAAACAGAAGATTTTTATCTGCTGGCAGTAACGATATTTTGTGTGCGTGTGGAAATCTCGCCAAGTTCAGATGGACGAAATTTTTTACTGCATTAGAGAAAACAAAAAAAAACATTCAATCTAGCACAGAAGAAAAGACAAGAATCAGCAATATTATTGGTGCTGATCTGTCGGCTCTGTTTCGGTCACTTCCAACCACCGTAAGGTTGAATCCCTATGCGTTTTCCATAAAAAAAAATCAGGGTATTTGTTCGGATGAGCTCTTCGCTAAGGTATCTAGACTTTTTTGAATTTAAGCGACGCATTAGGGTCGAGATCTCATCAATCTACAGTTGAGTCAGCTAGATGTAGCCATAAATGTTATTTTAAAAAGAACATTTTTAAGCGTTTGCATCCAAGTAAGGCGGGAAGCCACTTTCATGCAAGGGGTTACAGAGAGTTGGAGCGAGAGCAAAGAAGAGTGATAGAGGAAAGAATGAAGGTTAGGGGATAGATCAAGGCATCTGGAGACGTCGATTGACATTACATTTGAATAGCTGGAGATTATAGTTATCAGGGAAACAAGGGAGGGAGTTCCAAAAGCGAGAAGTGCGAGACATGAAGCTATTGGAGTAGAAGAGACGGCTACATTTAACAGTTTCGACAGTGAAAGGGTGAGAGCGAGATACCAGTCTAGCTGAACGCTTGAATTCATGAAGTCTATGAACCATCGAAAGCAGCTCATCCGAGTAGTTACCGTGAAAATATTTGTAAAAAGACAGAGGGAGGCGACGGCACGTCTGTGAGATAGTGCAACTTCCTTTCGAGTCCATGCTATCCAGCCAACTTTAATCTGCAAATGTTTAAATGCAATGTCAATTGCTATCTACTGTCCATCTGATCGCTTTTTTGTCTTCCCGCTTTTGGTGGCTTTACTTTTTTTTTTTAAGCGTTTCACCCCTAGCAAGGCGGGAAGCCACTAGGACGCAAGGGATTACAGAAGATTTGGAGCAAGATCAGATAGGAGTGATAGAAGAAAGGATGAGGAGAAGGGTAGTGGATAGATCAATGCAACTGGAGATGTCGATTGACATTACATTTGAATAGCTGGAGATTATAGCTCTCAGGGAAACTAGATTAGGGAAGGTAGTTCTACAGGTGAGAGGTGCGAGACATGAAGCTATTGGAGTAGAAGAGACGGCTATATTTAGGAGTTTCGACAGTGAAGTGGTGAGAGCGGGACGCCAGCCTCGTCGGGCGCTTGAACTCATGACGTCTGGGAACCAGCGAATGCAGCTCCTCGGAGCAATTGCCATGAAAGTATTTGTAAAACAGACAGAGAGAGGCGACGGCGCGTCTGTGAGAAAGTGTCTGGAGACGAGATGCCAGAGCAGGGCCAATTATATTGCATATCCGCCTCTGGAGCCTATCAAGAACCCCGAGGCAATCAGAAGGGGCTCCAGACCATATATGGCAGCAATACTCCATGCAAGGGCGAATTGTTGATTTGTAGATCAAACTGCCTTATTGGGGGTGAAATTGATTAAAAATGCCTACGTAAAAGTACTGAAAGTGCACATAATAAACACTTGATTACCAGGTACGTTAACTTAATTTCAAGTGACACGCCTACCACCTGCCGCATGGTCGGATTATCTTCGACTAAACCGGTTCAGCCACTAGACTGTTTTTTTTTTTTATTGAGGAGAGTAGCTAGACACCCAGCTAGATTAAAAACAATGTCAACGCAACTATTTAGTACAGTCGAGGGAATGTAGAAACATCTAGGTTGGTGCTCGGGCGCACTGTTAGTCCACTGGGAGTGCTGGACACCTTAAGATAACTAGTGATTGGAAAAACTCTAGTTTAACAACTGCAAATTAACAGCATCCAATGAGATTAAATGATTGTACATTTGGGGTACATGCTTGGGGAACCACGTTAAAAAAAATATATAAAGATTCAATACATTTACGTAATATCATTAAAAATCTTAATTCTGTGCACAAACCGGCTCACACAGAAGTCGGCTCATTTTTGTGCAAAATATAGGCTCTGATTTGAATGTCTACATTCACAATTATTAATCAATCAGTGACGTTATTTCAAATACGTTGAAGCCTTTGAAAATCAAACAGCAACGTTTATTGTCTGCTAGGAAATTTGGGAGCTAACTCTAGAAAACAATCATCAAGGTTTTCCCTCCAAAAAAATAAATATTTAAAAATAGGAAAATATTTATTAACCAATAAACTTTTGATTTTAGTAAACTAATTTTTAGCTTCTTCGAGCCTATCTATATTCCATAAACATCCTTGGCGTTAAGTTAGTTTTCAGCTTTTCAGTTTCACATTTTCGTAAGCCTTTGATCTGCGTTGGTTGTTCGATGTTGTGGACAAGCTGAATTCTCAAATCTTTTGTATAATTAATTACTCAACTTGTTCACATATTTTATTCGAGTAACTTCTTACAAAGCCTAATGATTTTAAAGTAAATTAAGCACAATTGAGATATACGGAGTTTTGTAAAAGTTAGTAGTAGTTTTAATACAGCTTTCCCGTCTGCTGCCTTCTAGAAAATTAGACACATCATCGAACAACGTAAATACTTGACACTCTCCTTATGTAACATCTTCTGTTTCCCCTACCATATTAATGCTATTTATTTTGTGTGTTGTAAAAGACAAAAACTAAAATATTTTTGTTGGATTTATTTGGCGATGTTCTTTGTAATTCGTTTCTTTCAATTTGAAATAAAACGAATACTCCCTGATATAATTTATTTAAAGATGTAGAGCCGTGTTTGAAGATTGGTTTTCTGCGATTTTCTTACGCTAATTCCTCTACATGTTGTTTTGCTTAAAGCCTTGGATTGATCCTATGCAAAGTCTTCCCCCAGTTTAAAAAATGTCATGCACAGGCATTGCTTGATATTGTAATTTGATATTTTTAATGGTCATGCTCGACTACGACGTAGCAGGCATCATATATGATCCATAGCTAAAGATGCTGGAAACATACTTAGTCGTTTTACTGCTCCAGAAAGTACTAGATTCCTTCTACCATGGCTTTCGATCCCGTACGATCACTAAAGTTCAGCAACGTCGAGCCTGGTCAGTACCTAGATGGGTGACTGTTTGGGAATGCCAGGTGATGTAAGTTTGCATGCGCAGGTTTCGTAATAGATAATGGCTCAGAATTGTTAATCGGTGAGCCGAGTACCATATTCCCTTACGTGCAAATACCCTGTAAAAGGCATGAATCCGCTTTTCCTCTACAAAGCTATGTGTTAATTAGTAAGACTTGTGTCACTAAGCCATTATTACCCTCCTCCCAAATTCTTAAAATTTAAGAATATTTTATGGCTTTAAATAACCTGCAAGGGGTTGATAAGCCGTAAAAACGAATCAATCAATCACTCACTCAAAATAATCCTTCCGGCATGTGCTAGCTTAAAAACTGTTGAGAGGTCCACCCCTTTTTATACAAATGAACTCACCCAGTATATACATATACTACTGCAGGAGTAAGACGAGGGTAAGAGAGAGCAAGACCGAATCGAGTCGAGTCAGAGTAAAAGGTTGTAGGTAACCGGAAGAGTGAGGGTGAGGTAACAGCGTTGTAGGAGTCACAGTGAGCGAGCACGTAGACTCAGTAAGAAGTCATACAGCGATACTTCAATACCAAAGACTGTATATATATATATATTTTGCTACTAACCCGTATTCATGGAACTACTAACCTGCTTTACCAGTTTGTATTATTACGTCAATACATTATTTTCATATATTCATTCCTGGCGTTTGATATTTATTGGTACCGGATTTCAACCCGGAATCCACAACAAGAACAGTGAAGTTTAAGTACAATATTTTCTTGGCCTGCCTTGCTGCAGAAAGAGGCACATCTTTGCTGTCGGTATCAGACGTTGGTATTCAGCTAAAATCCAGTATTTCTCAATCTGATTGTCTAGGCAAGTAATTAGCTACAAAAATAATCTCACTGTTTCACGCCTGGATCCTGAACTGTAAGACGAAGACCCATTTTGATTGAAAGAGACGAAGGCCGGTTGATGCGATCTTTCATTGTCAAAGTTAGTGTTAGTGGATGTGATAGTTTATTTTAACTAAAGCGTAGATTCATGGCTACATGTAAGGGGTAATCAGTGATAAACAAAGCCCCTATTTCTTAATTAGGATTGAGTTTTAGCTTTCTTTTAAAATCTACTTCAACTCTATAATTCTAATTTTCCCACCTAAACTGTATATGTTTATTTACGATTATTTACCTTTTCCCTCAATAGCAGTAGATGGGTTCACCTATGATCGGGTTCACACTCATCACCTGTCTTTTGAACAGGAGTAGAGTTTTGGCTCTGTTTCCTGTTTAATATTGGGTTTCCGGTTTCTTCTTAAATCTATATCAACGCTATACTTCTAACTTCTACGCCTAAACTCTGATTTTTTAATTACTGTTTATTTACCCCCCCCCTCAATTGGAGTAAATATGTTTCTATATAGTTCGGTTCATTTCCTCCACGTTTTGTTTTTATTTAAGAGTAGGGTTTAAACTTTTGATTCCTGTTTAGAACTGGGTTTCTGGTTCATTCTAAAGTATTTTCTTTCACTCAAAATGACCCATTGTGTCTTAGTGGCATTATCGCCTTACTTAAGGTAAATTGATTAAAAAAACCTGCACAGTAGTAACAGTCAATAAAACTAGCCCACCTCACCCCATCGAAGTGAGGCGTCCTTGTGAGCGTGATAGATATTTCCTATCGATAAGATATTCGGATAGTCGAGCAGTTAATAGCGCTCAGAAAATGGAAGCGACAATTCGAGATCAATTTCAGTAGAAATAATTTCTATTCAGTTTGCCTTAATGTCTTGGAGAAAGGCACCAATCTATCATCTCGACCTGACAAGGTACAGTTTAAATATCACTGCAGAATGATTTCTATAACCGTGGCTGGAAACGGAAAAAAGAAAACTGTATTCAAAACCGTGGAGAACTGAATAGAAAACAATCCACTATATTTTTAATGCACAATCATTGCAGTGCATAATATGCAAATATAAATGTAAAAAAACCCCAAAAAACCCTAATTTTTAAGCTAATTTAATATAAAATTAGCGTATGTAGTGCTGACTCTAGAGACGCCGCTGATCAAACTATATCTATTTACTGTTGTGAAATTAGCTTCAAAATTAGGTTTTTAAAAGGTCGCATGATACACGAGTATATACGATCATTAAATGATTGATTGAAATATTTTTATAAAAGAAAACACATAGAAATATGTATATCCGGTTGTTCTTTATTTAAAAGAAATGATTTTGTAAAAAAGACAATATGTTTTGCCTGAACATTATTTATTAAGAATATGAAAATATCATCTGTGTGTCTATATCAATGACTTTAGCAATGTCTGAAATTTGACATTTGTAATTAAAAAAAAAATTCTGAAAACTCTTTAAAAAGTCAGAGTTCGATTTTTATGAACAATTCTCACTTCTAAAATGATAAAAAAAAAATCAATATTTTTCGATTCTGACAGATGTTGCTTCTTGAAGGTATAATGAATGCTAATTTAGATAAAATTCTGTTTTATTTAACGAACGAATTGATCAATTTCAATGGTGCCGAATAAATCCTAAGTATGACAGTGACACGCAAACACATACAAGGAAAACAATTCAAATTAGGGTAGTAAGTAACATTTAAACAGCCGGCGTGATCAATTGATGCATTATTGGAGATCAGCGGATATTATCAATTGAGGATTTAAACTTTTTCTATCGATACGGAAATCATCCATTTACGAGTCGAGTCTAAAATGACTAATTGGCAACTGTAGGATTCATAGAGTTGATTTTTAATAGAATTCAGCGGACGTCTTTTCCTGAAGTATTTTTTTTTGTCTGCAAACCAAACTGAAATATTAAGCCAGAAACAGTATACTTAAAGAGAAAACTGTCGAAATAGTGAGAATTTCTGGCAAAGAATGCAAAATTTTATTGTGCGTGGAATGCCTGAAGGTATATTATACTATTAAAAAAAATATCGAATTTAGAAACCTTACGCTTTTTTTAGTTTCATTAATTTTAATAATATAAAAGAGTGAGCATATTGTTTTTGTTGTTTGGGGGTATAGTTAAAGTGAAAATAAGCATAAAGACTATAAAAATCATTTTCTAGTTTATTAGTCGTTTCATGGTCACGTTCGTGCAACCTTTTCCCAACGTTTAAGTTTTTTTGTTTTTTTATTGACATTCACTCTGTACAAGGCCCATGGACCAGTCAATGTAGAGTGTTACTAGATAAGACGCACAATTTATGCATATATGTGTTGAGTATAACGGTTAACCGTATACTTGAACAGATTTAGATTATAGTGATCGGGGAAGCAACCTCTTGGGAGTAGGTCTCACTAGGCAAGAGTTCGTAGGAAGAAGCTGCTCGAGTGAAATTTACATCTCACCAAAGGGATACGAAGAGCATGAGGTTGGTTTTCTACAATATGCGTGGCATGGCGCGTCTTAGCCCTGAAAGCTAGAACTGGTGGAACTAAGGAATGTAGTTCGTCCGAACATTCATCATGGAAATAGCGACAGAGCAGCGAGAAGCTTGCGACATCTTGTCTGAGAGAAAGGGGTTGCAGATTGGAAAATAATTCATCGCCTACAAGGATGCGGAGATACATTTGGGCACTATCGAGAGTGGAAAGGGAAAACTAGACAGCTCCTGCTCAAATATGACAACATTATTCCATTTTCGGCCTCTTGTAAAGATAGAGGACATCACGAGGCGTCAGTTACTTACTGGAGCCGTACAAAGAACAAACTATTTTCCTTTAGCGATGGATCATATGTACGAGTTCCACTTGAGGTCTGGGCTGAGTTTTAGTTTCAATTGCATCTCCAAGGCATCCGATCATCGCGATTGGTGAAAGGTCTGTCTGATCGGCGATGGCGGAATGTCACCTCCTTTGGTTTTCGAGGTATTGAATGTGACCAGTCAGTTACACATCACGCACTGTGCAGTTAGATCTAGGTCAGACGAAAGATCAGCTGCCAATCTCTGGTCATCAGGGGTTTTGGCGGTGCACCCATATACCTTTCAATGATTGAAGTATACTCTGATCATTCATGCAATGTAGAAAGAGGGTTGAACTAAGAAGCGATCCTTGGAGGAAACCTACGTTGATCGCTTGGGATTAAGAGGACTGGACGTTAACTACTTTCAATTAAATAATTTCGCTAAGATTGGGAATCACTCTGGGTTAATATTGTTAAGGACAACCAATAGGGCTTCCCTGGACTGGTGGCCATCTTAGGGTTAAGATTTTTGATAAGTCTTCTAAATTTCCGTGTTGTAATAAAAATATTAATGAAAGTGGGGAAGTCGGGAAGGAGGTGGCCTTTGTCATCTGACGTTGCGTTTGAGGCAAAGATCGAAACAAAGAGTTTCGCCTTATTGGACGAGTATGAGATGGTCCCGAAGCCATTTATAGTAGTAGGCACTGACACTTATTCAGAATATGATTAGGGATCTTCCAGGACTCCCGGGATCTAGTCTGACTGCTTTCAAACTTGGTCTGGGCTGCTTGATTATAGCTACACTTTGAATTTTCTGGAACTCTCTTGCAGTGATTGCGAGCAATTATGAATGCAGCAAGTGTCGTATCACAATCCGTCCTGTGATAGACAGGATCACAAAAGGATGAATTAGAGTGCTCAGCAAGGTTCTACGAAGCCCTCCGTGTCCGAGCTGTCTAAAGCACACGGACTCAAAATACGGTTTCTTCTACAGCGTGAGGAGTGTTAGAATTATGAGGGAGACTTCATTTCACTTATTATGGTTTCGAAGTGTGTAAAGACGTAATATACACTTTGAAATATAAAATACAATCCTCTATTTCAAAAACGGGTATCCACTAAAAATAACGTTTGAAATACTAAAATATGTGTTAAAAATATAAAATTATATATATATATATATATATATATATATATATATATATATATATATATATATATATGTATGTATATATATATTCTAGCAGCATGGCCTGGCGTTGTCTGTGCTTGATTAAAAAATCGTACGACTCATACAGCAATCGTTATCACTTGACTTAAAATATTTTTGCACTTCCTTGC